GAGAAAAGTTTATCACGGAGTCGGCCCTCGGCTTCCGAGCCACGGGCCCCTGGGAGAGGAAGGCACTAAGTGAAACTTTGGTGTCTTGCCATGGCCTCTGTCCCTGTCCCTGTGCCTTTGGGGCCTAGACTTACCTGGGGCGAGCGGGGCCCCCAGCACCCCCAGCAGCAGCAACAGCGCTCCTGGGGTCATATCCTGGCTTTGAGGATCAGTGAGTTCGCTTGGAGATCCGCTGGGATCGCCAGCTCAGGGGAAGTGACGAGGAGACCAGGAATGTGCACCTGTTGTTGGGGGGCAGCCGCCAGCCCACCCGCCCCGCCCCGCCCCCGGGGCTTAGTCCCGCCCTGAGCAACTGAGGACGCCTGCCACCCACAGACAGACACGACTTCAGTTGTATAAATCGGCTTTAATTGAGAAAGCGTGGAGTGGATACCCCGTCCCCTAGAGCAGAGCCAGGAGATGGGTGGAGCCTGAGCGGGGTTCTTGTGGGTGAGGGGGGCATTTCCCCCTCCTGCAAGGAGCCAGAAATAAAAGAGCCTGAGGAAAAGTGACCTGCCTTTGAGCCTAGCCCCTCCCTAGTCTATCTTGCCCAGGTCTGAGGCTACCAGAGTTTCCCTCCTAGTTCACTAGTGGGTACTCGTCTTTTCCAAGTCTCTCCCTAGCTTTCCACGTTTCTTGAAAAACTCTAAACAGGTCCTTTTTGGGTACCTAAAACCCAGCTGAGGTTATAAGCTGTAATGTAAAGCAAGTTTTATTCCGTTAGAAGCTCTGGGGTGGTGTTGGGGGGGGTGTACAAGGTCTCCAGCCCAAGAGGCCTTCACCCTCCTTGACCTGACCTATAGGGAAGAGGGGTGGGGCTTATTGCTGAATTGGGGGTCTCCTCATGAGGTGTCGGGGGAATCAAGGCCTAGTCCCACTTGTTCTTTTTATTCTAGATCCACTACTCTACAGACCTCAGCTTTAAAGGGGACCTGGGAGGAGTTCCTGCTGTATGTGTCCGAAATGTTCTACAGGAAACATCTCGAGAGCTCACATGGTTAGCAAGGTCAAGTATGAGCTTATACAGTAATACGTAGTATGCACACAACGTATCTAACATTCGTACACTAATAAACACATACTTGTATATCATATGCTTACTTTCTAAAGAATTATTTTAGTTATTTATTATTTTTATTATCTTAAGAGATTTTTGCCTTAGGGCACATGTACTCGCCATGGAAAGAGAGGAGAGAGAGACAGTGAAAGGGAAAATGAGAAATCACCCCCCAGGGGGTGGCCATGCTGCCATCCCTTCTCTTCCACTGGGATCTTGGACATGCATGTGCATGCAGCTGGCGTGATTTTCTTTTTTTCTGTTTTAGAGAGATTTTTGCTATAGAACATGCACGCTTGCTGCAGAGACAGCGGGTAGCTAAGTGTTCATGTCCCCCCAACCCAGACACAGGTTTAATCATATCATAGTTTTGGCCCCTTCCCCATCCTAGCTTCTGTACTCTGAGCCAGGGATTCTTTTAAAATTTCTCTGCTCTTCCCCAGGCTGTGTTTTCCTGGCAGGACCCCAGCTGGGTTGCAGGAGTTAGAAACTGCATGTAAAAATAAGGTTAGCATTCTATATGGAAGAAGAAGATTTTTAGAAAATCATTAAGAAAAACAAGAAGTGATTCTTGATTCATCGAGAACTTAGTTCTTCATGAATCATAGCTGGGTCCTTTCCAGAGCTCATTCTTAATAGATATTACAGAGAAGGTGGGAGGGTAGGTCTAGAACTTACTCTAGAGCAACAATATGGCTATATAGGCCCCAGTTTCATCCTGGGGAGAAGGGCTGAGAGTCGTGGTCCATGTCTTAGAACTGAGATTCAGGAGGAAGTATGGCTCCATAAAAGTCTAGAACACCACACTCTAGAACTGGGTGTCTCTGGAATAAGGTTAAATCCGTGGTGACTGGAGACTGGTCCCAGTTCAGGCCAAAGCCAACAGCTAGACAGGGTTCAAATCCAGTCTCTCTCTGCTTGGAAACCAGGGGTCCATCTGGGTCAAGGATAGAAGCCTGGTGGACTCAGAACAGAGCCTGGCACCATGCCTGGATTCCAGCACAGAGCCCTAGTGCAGAAACGGCCCTGGCTGGGGTGTCTGGTATTCTAGAATATGTCCAGACCAAGGCAAAAGGTAGAGTAGGGAA